TTTCGTGGGCCAGACCCACTTCCTCAGATCAAATAGTGGAAGAAAATAGTTACAATTTAAATTGGTTGTGTCCTTTGGTATATATGGTTGTGACTATTTTCTTCCACTATTTGATCTGAGGAAGTGGGTCTGGCCCACGAAAGCTCATCATCTAATAAACCATCTTGTTAGTCTTTAAAGTGCTACATAGTCCTGTATTTTGTTTAAATTGTCATAGATTTTCTTAATTACACAATTGGTTATAAGCTTTTCCATTAGTGAGGTGCTGGCTGTATGTGTCCATTTTAGGGCATGCAGAATCACATGTATGGTGCTTTCCCATTTTGTTTTAACAGCAGCTAGAAATAATATTGCAATGTGGAAGTATTGGGGTTGAATATGCAACAAGATGTGTTCTGATCTCCATGTGCAAGAGCACAGTTTTTGCGGAAGGGACAGTAGAAGGAATGTTCAGCAGCATAGTGATTGTGTGTGTGTCTATATAGACAAACTTGATGTGCAAAAATTCAGTAGAGGAAACAATTTGTGGCAGAAGTCCAGAATCTCTACTGATATCAACCTTTTTTTTTTTTTTTTTAAATCAGGGAATCTCACTTCAAAGGCTTGTTAGTACAAGAAAGTATTACACATTAGCTTACTTTGAATTGGCATATTGCTTTAACCGATCTTTGCGGTGGGGGAAAAAAACAAGGACATTTTATTTTGAAAATTGCCAGGGGCATTTTATTTTTCTGTTACTCTTTCCTCTTCTCTCCCCCCCCCCCCCCCGTCGCTGCCTCTCCCTCACTTCATATGAGCAGGAATTGGTTGTTGAAGAGTGTGTGTTTTTAAAAGAGGGGAAAAAAAAAGTGGCTTACATTGCTATGATGTAGCTAGTGGCTAAGCTTGTGTGTCATTCTCTCTGATTTTGACCAGTAGCTTCATCCTGGACTCAAGCAACCTTCCCAACAAAAATGTTGTCTACATGGATATGCTCCTATAAAAAGTTCTGGTTTTGATAAATCCGCATTTCCAACCATAAAAATTGTAGGAAAGAGGGAAGCAAATTTCTGGTAGCTTCTACTTTAGAAAAATGAGTAAACCAAAAGTGTCTAGAAACTGCATGTAACTCCAGAAT